GTCATTTTCTTTGCATTAACTGCTTTAAGTTTCTCTGATTGCCCTTCCGTAAAAAGGTTGGATTGATGAAATTGTGTGCAACTTGAAAGTTTCTGATATTCATTTTCTTTCCATGATTTTCTGAGGTCTCATGAATCTTGACTGATTGTAAACAAAGTGAAGGTCAGCCCTCCACAAATAAATTGTTCTAGGAGATAGTTTTGTCTATTTTGGAAGCTTTTTTACTAGTGGTGTGATGATCATCGATTATAATTGATCATTGATCCAAAATCTTTAAGCAACATGACAATCGATTATGGATGATGACAATCGATTATCACAGACAAATGAAGAAAAATTATTGATGACAAATAAAAACATAAAAAAGTAGTGTGTTGTATGCACATTTTAAAGGACCTGTAACAGCAGCCTCCACTGAATACCTCTTTCTCCTACATTTCATACATTTTTAATGTTCTTTAAAACTCGGCAAAACATGCTCTCACCAGGCTAGGTTTTACATTTTGTTCACATTTGATAGTGTATTTGATATGGAAAAGACTTATCTTGACGGTTCTCTTAGAAATTATTCTAATTTAGTAGGTGGGTGTAAAATACATTTTTAGATATACTTGTTGCGATCAGAAAGGTTACAAGAGTAGATGAAAGCAAAACAGGTGTAAACAGCTTGCGAAGATCGAAGTGAAACTGAAGTTGGCTGCCAGGGTCCTCTCCTCATTGTCTCGTTTTTATGTTGTCGACAACAAACATGGCGGCTGAGTTTTTTATCGGTAGATTTTTATCGATAGATTTTCCGATTGTAATCTATGATTGATCAGTTGGGTCAATCAGATTATTTCCGATGATCCATGATAAAATATCAGCCAATTCCCTTCATTACTTTTTACAGATCTTGCACGAAAACGTTTTGCCCCCTGATATAGGGGATGTAAACTGAAACTTGGTGACTTTGTTGGTTGGCTGGGATGTATTCTGTTTGGGCACGAAAACAAGCCATGGTCTGTCAGTTTGCCATGAAAGCAAGAAGGTGCACATACATTTTCCCTCATAAGGCAGCAGCTCCTACTTCACTTTTTTCGCGGGAGGGAGCGAAATGTCTCCTAAAAATGCCACATCTGTCAACATCTGTCAGCTTTTCTGTGAACGTATATAATTTTTTGTTATGTAACGTGCCATACTTTTGTCTGATTAGTTCATTTCAATAGTAACAGATAAATATGATATAGAAAACCTAAAGCCAATTATTGATGAAGGCTGATCATGAGAAATTAGAGAAACCTTTGTTTGCAACAATTCTAGCTGTTTTCTATCCAGTACAAGTTAGTTTAGCTCAGTTTGTTGGGGTTGGACTACAGCCAATTTTGAAAGACGGTTAATCAAAGGATTTTATTAAACGCTTTGGTAAGAGACCTTTCCTAAGAGCAATCATCTTTGAATGAGCGCAAAATCCATTTTCTCCAAGTAAAAAGAAATAATGACCAAGAGTCACTAACATTACATATAGCTTAACCCTTTTCATTCCATATAACACTATAATGGCTTGACTACTGCAAAAAGGCATCTTATTACAATTCAAGTGGTCAAATAAGTGACCAAAAGAAAAAAAAACCAAAAGTCACACAAATCCAGGAATATCCGCGACAAGACAGGCAATCTTTTTTGTGAATGTCTTAGATAGTGTAACCTTGTAATCAGCAAGAAGTTTCCTAAGGCCAGTTCCACTCAGCTAGCCATATGATATGGTAAAAATTGACAAACGGCAGAGTAAGCTTTTATGCCTCCATCTCCAATAATGAGGGATGTAGCATAGTTTTCTTATCCACACTGACCACTGTCTGACAGTAATGTTGCCCCAGCTACTTCCCTGTGAAAGACTCTATATACATTATAGATACATATAGTACTAGCGTAGTTAAGAAGCACCAGTGCACAGCTTGATTTCAGATATCAAGCTTGAGTGAGTAATGTAATGCTTCTTTTGGGTCAAAGGGACAAACAAGTGTGTGATAAGCTATGCTATTTGATGTGTGGTTCAGTTTGATCTCTCCTTCCACTTGCGTCATGACATGTTGACATACGAGCTAATTAAGTGTGACAGACCTTGCTAATGGTCAGTCAAAATAGTAAGCATAAACACGTCTCTTTAAAATTAGCTGTTCATTCTTTTAAAGAAAAAACTATTTATCCTACAACAAAGTCACACCATATAATCATGTGAAATTATGGTGCAAAGCGTAATGCCACTCTTAATGTCTGTAACAATAAGGTTATTAACTGGAACCTTTGTTTTTTAAAAACAAAGCCCCTTGATAAACTCCATTTAATCATCTAAAAACTGCAAATTTTTTTTTAAAAAGTGATTTTTTTAGCGGTTGCTTGAGGGTTGATATAATGCACTGATGTCCATATATGGATGCTCTGTTAAGAACTATAACAAATTGTTGATAGTAAATTAAATATTTGTGTTAAAATATCTGGATCAGTTTAAATTACACTTATTTTAACTTCAGGAAAACAGAATCTGCATCAAAGTCTGTAAGAATGCCTTACCTTGATCCTCTTTGTCTGGGTCTAAGATGTCCAGCCATTGGTCTACCAAGCTCATCTCTCAGCCTTTTACACCATAGCAGCATTCCTTTCTGTATAAAAAAGATATTCCTACAGGGTTTGGTTTTGCTTGAAGGAAGCTAGTACTGGACATTTATATGCTGTTTCTACTTGGTAAATGGGCACCTTGTAGTTGGTATGAGGGGCAGTTTTAACAGGATAGTGAAACAGGTATGCGCTAAAGGTTGAGGAACACTCCTTGACAAGGTATCCCAAAAGAAAAAGTTCCTCCAATGATATTTCTACAAACAACTATTTGAAGTCACCAAGGGTGATGTCTTGCTTGTTACTTGCCTGGTACATAATTTTTGTATTGAGCACTTCTAGCATGTGAAAGCAAATTTGTAATACCAAACATTTCCTTTCATAAGCCTGGAGCAGGTGGCAATCTGTTGATCACCCACATCTGAATTGTACAACTTCATTAACTTTGCCTGAGTAACATTCATCTGCCCTGACGACCTGAGCCTCCTCTCAACTTGACCAATCTCAAAATACACAGAGTTAGCTGACAGCAGGTGACAGGTGATAATTTAAACACTGGTTATCATGCACTAGTGACAAAATGAGAAAATTTAGACCCTTGAGTGCTAAGATTCCTTGATTTTGGTCTGCAAGGTTTTACTTTCTTCCCTGAACTATATAAAATGGACCAAAACTCATGACACATTTCTTTTAAAAGAGATTCTTCAACTCAAGCTTGAGAACACAGAAAAAGATCTGAGGAGAGAGGTACACTTTGGGGAACCTCCTTGCCTGTCGCCTTCGATGATCACCCAAAGTTTCCTATAATCCAATGTTCTTTGAGTGAAAGTTACCTGTCATAAACAGGCTTTCCAAGCAGAGGAAATACGAAAAACAGTTTGAAAACATTTGAAAATTTTAAAAAGGGGTCATACATTTTAAAAAGGCTATATACGTGTAAATATACTTGACCATTGTGCTTCTGAGTTCATGAAATATACATTTTTCACTTAAGCATATTTATAAATTCATCTCAATATCCCAAGAATTGCAAATAGTACATCACATCACCAAAACCCGATTCCACTTACATCATGTTCATTGATTTCTTAAAAGCTCACTGGTTGTTGCTTGGCCTGGCACCATGAAATGGACCCTTAAAGCGAGATATTGGGGGAGACACTGGGTCACCATGTGTATATAGGATGTTCCGGCGAGAGCTGGACAAAGGGAATTGAGGTTTGTCTAACAGTCTTGTGGTCATGCTATCCTTGCACTATCATAGCTTTATCTCTCAATAGGCCCATAAGGCATGACAATAAGGTTCTTTGGTGTTGCAGTAGATTTACATGTAACATTTATTGCATGTTCTTTCTTATGACCTCTGTACAATGTTTTTTTTCAGAGATTGTTGTTATAAAGTCAACAGTTTTGGAGGGCTAGGTTTTTGTTGTTTACCCAGTGTAAAGCTCTTCTAGCTGAATGGGGTGCTACCATCCAGATTGTCTCCATACTTCTGCAATTCAGTCTTGAAACTGTTCTAGTTTCTAGTGGCAGTGATCTTTGTGTCTAAGTTTAATCTTTCATCATATTTCCTCCGTAACCTCTGTAGCTGTGTCAGCTTCGTCCACATCTCCACTCCATAAACCAGTTGCAAATGCCATCATTTTTTCTTAAAGGTTGGAAGCATTAAACGTAAAAAATAACAGTCCATCAGGATTTGTATTGGCACCTTTAGTTGGTCAAGTGCTGTAACCTGCTACAACCTAATTTTAAGGGAGTTAACAAATAGAGCATATTTAAATAAGAAGTCCATTAGGGTATTTTTCATGCACTGAAAACAAAATAGTGACAAACCTGCAGTTCAGTGGTTGGTGTAAATAATGCCTTTTTTGTCCTGCCTAAGGTGACATTGGGAACAAAGACATAAAAAATGATACTTCTGTGACACCACCAGCTGAACTGAAGCAGAGCCGCAAAGAATGTTAACATGATTGATGCACAGAATTGATTTATCACCACCTGCCAAAATCACCAAGTAGGCATCAAGTAGTTGTAAATTGAATGACAAGAGAAGCATATTACTTACTACACAATGGTGTCTGCAGTTAAGCTTCCAGAGTTATGTTTTACATATCAGATACTCCAAACATCCCTGTTACAATTTTCAAATTCTTTGAGAAAAATATCTTTGGCAACTCACATGTCACTTTGAAAGGCTTGAATATGTTTCCTCAAGGTCATAAAAAGCAATGTGTTCTATAAAAGTAACAAGAACTTTTCCCGTATCTTCAGCCGGAACATTCAGTTGGGCCGAGGTTCCAAAAAATTTGGGTAGCCCTTCAAACTTTAGGTTTTCCCGGTGACTCTAAGCTTCCAGATAAAAGATTTGCTTTTAGCATTCATTGATATCTGCTTTCCTCTTGTCTGCACAGTGAAGCTCAATAAATTGTGATATTTCTGTGATGTGGGAACAATCTTCTTTAAGAGACTTCTGCTTTTCTTTGATGGCTGCAAGGTCAGTCTCTATACAGGATACTTTAGTTTAAAGACCCTTCACTGTCTGATTAAGCTCGTCTATTCCTTCATCCAGACTTGAATAGAAATCATTGTTTGATGGTTTCCTGTGGTAATAAATGATTTGAAAAAAATTTCTTACACTTAAAATATTAAGTCTTGAACTGTTGCATCACAGCCATTTTAGATAAAGTAAACTTAAGCTTGTGATATATTTTTTTTAAATATGCTTCTTCCCACAAACCTTTGTGCTGAACATTTCTGGTGATGCTCTCTGAGCAATGACATTGAGACTGATTTTCCACAAGCCAAACATGGAACAAGAGCCAGTGCATCACTTTCTTCCTGAAAATTAACAGAATAATTTCAACGTTTAAAGACAGATAACTTGGAGGGTAAGATTTCCGTACAACCCCATACATTAATTTTATTATGCATGCATGTTCATATTAAACTATTTATGTGAAATAGTATGAGATTACTGCATGCATAATAAACATATGGGGTTGAACTTGAAGCTTTGAGCAGTTTCTATTCATTAAATTTAACTACTGTAAATCCTCAAATAATTACCTGGGGTGCTTATGCAGAATAATTTTAGGATAGCGTTGGAGGTGCCCACAGGGGAAGGAGACCTGGGGGAAACTATCCTGCAGGGCTTTAGATGAATGCATAATTACAGACTCACCACTTCTTGTTTCACCTCAGTCTCGTCAAGGTTTTCTTGAATAGGCCTTATATAAATAAGAGCCTGGTCCAACCCAGCTCCATCCCTGAGAAATGGAACAGTGTAGCCAGAAGGAGGAGGCTTAATAAGGAGTAACTCACCTGGCCTTGCGCCACTCCTGAGTAGTTCGAATCCACCACCCTCTTTTAGTTTCGGGTATGCATCTTCCATTTTTCTTTTGAAAGTTGGAGCGTCGTCTCTGTTTCCAAACGTTAGCTTCTTGCGGCCCAAACCTGCTGCAAGCAGGGTTAATTTATCTGCCTTAGTTGGTACTGATTGACTATCTTTGTTCGCCATACATACGAATTCCCGCGTCCAGGTCTCTCGAACTCGATAGTATCCTCCTCTATGTGACGACCGGCTTCTTTTCGCTGGAGGAAAAGATTTCGACTCTGACCTTTTGGGAAAGGTTGAGGTACCAGGGTTAGTTGTTCGGTAGCCAGAAAACAGTGACCTGAAATTTTGAAGCACCCGGTTTTGGTCATGACTCGAACTGGATACAGAGTTCGTCACCACTGTTTCAGTCCCTGTAACAACTCTTCCTGCAGTTGAAACAGCCGTGTCGTCAGACTCTCGGTCTCCAGCGAGCAAACTAGCTGCTTCTCTCAGAAGACTAACAGCCTTGTCAGTGTTACGGTTCAAAGACATCTCGCAAAACCAAAACTAAAAAACATCCAGCCGTCCAGTTATTAACCTTCCAGTTCGCGCGCCAAGCTGAGTGACCGCCTCCTTTTTGTATTTGAAGTAAAACCGCTGACAACGCAGCTCAGGGAGTTGAATTTCACGAAATTCAAGAGATTCAATTGTGTCAAATTCACGAAGCTGAATTCTGCAAAAATTAAGCCTCCCTATTCTACGAGAGTGGCAATTCTAAATTGGTCACAACTGTATTTGTTAGCATTTTAAGGTGTAGTTAATGTAATTGTACAAAATGTACTTGTGCAAAACTGCGGAATATGCCTTTCACGGAAAAGAGACGACTACAGTGAAATGAAACGTGCTACAATAAACAGGAACAGTGCCATAAAATGAAAAGACAATTATGGCGGGGATTACCCCTCATAATTTGCGGCAGTTGCCTGATGATTGCTTCGCAAGAAGCATGAAACTCAGCGTTGCAGTAAATGTTCAAATAACCTAGCTCTTGGACTATAATTATTCATAGCTCTAGCTCTGCTATTGAGCACTTTATAGTAGATGAGGATTTCTTTCCACTTTTTTTGTTATATATATATATATATATATATTTTTTTTTTTTTTCAAATATTTGTTTATTTCATTCACTTGTTGTGAATAATCATCTTCATCACTGTATACCTTTATACACAGTGGTGAACAAGTGTAATTATGTAAAAATATTGAAATATAACCCGTTTTCTGATTGATAAGAAAATCACTGTTTTTATGACAAATAAAATCCAAATTGGAGCATATGCGGTCCTTCCCAGCTTGTATACCTCTTACTTCATGAAAGATCTACAGTTTCTCACATAATAATTTATTGCCTGCAACTTACATATAAGTTTGTGAACTCACGTCACTTGACAAAAGTGACAAATAAAAAACACTTACATCAAGCGCCATCAGTTATTGTTTCCCATGACAAAACATTTGTATGCCAAAAATGTGACATTTTTGAACATCACTTCCCACCCCCCCCCAACAAGCCCCCAAAAAATAATGAGGCAAAAATATTATTTTCCTCAATAATTCAAGAGGAATAACTGTATTCTTCAAAGCTATAAAAGATTGCATGCACCCAGCAAAACGTCTTACTCAAAGATGGACCATCAGGGTTTTTATGAGGGGTGTGGAAGGGGTTGTCTTAGGCAATTACCGCAAGTAAAAACTCATGAACAGCAAAAACTCGTGAAAAGACAGCTACGATCAAATAAAATCAAATACCGTAAAATTCCGAAAATAAGCCCCTCCAAATATAAGCCCATGCCATGTCTCTCGGAATATAGTTCGGACCCTCTTGGCTAACATCCTTGTACACTTTGAAGGGCAATAAGCAATCATTGCTCCCACGTTTACATGCCTATGTGAGTCCACTATCATACATGATCGATCTTTATTTACAATAAAAAGGAAATTTCTCCCTCTAGTGACCACAACATTGCAACTGGATGGTGGGGTAGACGTACTCAACATTTCCATTACTTCTGCCAACTGATCTTCGCAGTCGTTTCCAATAAGATCAAGACCTTGTCCTATGCACTGAACAAAGCATTCTGTCCCTACCATTTCCACAGCATCTTCCACGGCCACATCCACTCCCTCTCCTTCAAACAATTCATCATGGATTTCATTTCCTTTTTTCATTGCTTTGTACAATGCAGACTTCCACTCCATTGAAAGAACACTGTGCAGTGGAGGTGGCAACTTACAATGGAGGTAGAGGTGTCCAAAGTACAAGGCAATGAAAGTACAAGCGTTACTGCCACTTCTTCCTCCTAAAGTTGACTGGCAGAACTCTGCTGGCAAGGTCCAGTGTAATGTGTCTGTTAAGCTGGGAACTGTGTACCCTGTAATTTCACGAAAGGGGGGTGTAGCAGAACGTGAAGTGTTGTTTAGAACCAGGGTAGGCTGTATAGTTGACTGGGACACAGTGGTAGGAACTGTTGAGGTATGGGCACACACAGGGTTAGGCTGCTGTCTAGGCACAGGAGTAGGCTGCTGTAAAGATGCTGTCGAGCCAGGGACAGACACAGGAGTGGGCTGCTGCACAGGATCTGTTGAGCCAGGGACGGAAACAGGAGTGGGCTGCTGTACAGGTACTGTCGAGCCAGGGATGCTTGGAGACGGATGACCCACCCCTTTGCAAATGACATGCTTCCTCTTGCAAAACATTAAAAGTTTGTTTCCTTTTCTGATGGTAGGTACTCCACCAGCTACGGATTTGTGTGCAATGATATCTTTTGGATTGGCTCTGACACCACTTGATGCTTGTCGGTTGTAAAAAGATATTATTTCTTTTTGAGCCAAGGAGAAAATTACTCTTACCAGAGGATTTCTTTAAAGCATATCCATTAGATGGCTGCAGATTTGTGGCAATCCTTCCACTCTGAAAATAGGATGGGGACTGTAGTGGTTCAGGTGCATGGTTTATAAAACGCACACTATATACATCTTGGCTGGAGAGACTTTGTAAGCCCTGTTCTCTGGTTTGTGGTACTGGTAATTGCAAAGAGATGGAAGAGCCTGTTGAGCCAGTCATAGGGGAATTTCTTGTAGTGATCTTTTGAATCTGAGCCTTTGTCTTTTTGACAACTTTGCCAATACCAGCCAAGGAATGTGCGATGATGCCCCCAGCAAATTCTCCTTGAAGAGGAAATATGAATATGCCCATTTTCTTAGGAGCCCTACTTCTTTCAATGGACAACTGGAAACATGATACATTCTTCATGCTCTATTTCAAAAAGAAAAAAAAATATCACTGTGCTGTGTATATCAAAACTGACTAATATACTTTTGTTCCTTCACTCCAAAAGGTGTATCTCTCATCACCTGGGGACAGTCACCCCTTACTTTGAGTTGTGTTTTCCATTTTTGTCTGCTATGTCATCATAATTCAGCCTGTGTACTTTTTGTTATAAATTATTTTGAATTGGATAGAGGGGGCATTGAATTTGGGTTGCTCAACTTAGGGGCACTTCTTATTGGGCACTAAATAAGGATTTGTGCCTATATTATATTTAGGAGCTTTTAAGAGTGACCAAATATTAGAAGGAGGCTCCTAAAGTGAACCACTACAATACCTGTGTAATGCCAGCAAAAACCTAAGTTCCATTTTTGATTATTTATGAAAATAAATATGCCGCTTAAGTATCAAAAAATTAATGAAATATGCGCATACAGTGTAGCAAAACATCAGAAGCCATATTCACTATATGTTCTTAACTGCATTGAATTTACCTGCACAAGCTGTCAAAGTTCCTCTCCAGTTTCCAGATCATTCCCCAGGCGAACATATCGCACGATTTTGTGGGATATGTGGGCAAAGTGGGTGTCAAGAGACGCCTTCCCTTCCCCAGCTTCAAAGTTGTTGTATTCCAACAAGCTCAAGTCGAATACTTTATTAACCTCACTTAGGTATGTCAGAACTGCAGTATTATGATAATGAGGACCATTGTCTGTGGATATAATGTATAATAAGTGTTAAAATTATTTTTATTGCATTATAAAAATAATAATTTATTTGAAAGGGGAATTAGATGTTATATTCCCGGCATTAAAATATAGACATGAAGAACAATAAAAAAATAAATGCAGATCGTCATAAAAACAAAGAAAACCTGACAATGCAGCTCTGCAACTGACGTCTTTCCACACGTGATTGTTAGAATGTATTTACCCCTACCAAAGAACCGAATATGCCTTATTTTTGTTGCTCAAAATTTACTCCCATAAGCCTTGAGAACTCTTTTCAAAACCCAGTTAACTTAAATGTTTCTGGAAGCCCATGTGCTGGTGAGAGACTGCAAGAGTAGTGCCTATCCCTTTAGATCACTGAAGTATCTGGATCAGGTTTTACGTACAGTATCTACATGTATACAGCATTTTCACGTGATGTCACGGTGGCCATATTGGTGTCTCAAAACAATGAAACGGCAGCCAAGATGGTGTCCCATACTAATCCTGGGGAATTGAACTCTTTTCTCATGTAAACAATTTCCTTTGTTCCAATATAGTTACATGGCTGCTGGTCACGTGAGTGAAACTGTATGAATGTAACATGTAGTGGAAATAAATTGCACACATACCAGAAAACAGATAAACAGAGAATCCTGGGAAGGCCCTCTCAAGCCACGTAAAACAGGCATCTAATGCACTTTGGGTAAAGAAGGCATCTTGTGTCTTCTGAGCACAAGTCAAACACGTCGCAGCTTTTTTTGTTTTCTCCAATCTGTGCAACAATGTAACACCCATACAGCGATATCCCCCTCTTCCCATACCAATCACGCTCAATCTCATGTGTCCTTTTCCCAGGTTCCAATTTCATCTTATAGTCAATGACAATAACGCACTCCCCAGGCTTCAAATACTTCAAAACAAATTTGTAGTAGTCACCTTGATGTTTCGTACGAAGAAGGTGACCCAAATAGTCAAAGTGCACCTTATACACTTCTTCTAGTCTGGCTTTTAAATCATCCTTGGCCGAAACATCACTCATGGACTCAATTGATTGCATAAGGGAACTATGCACATCATAAATTAGAGAAATGTCAGTTAGAACTGAGTTGTGCTCTTCTGAACAGGAATCAAATGCATGTGACAAGCAAAGTTCGAGGTAAGGAGAATGCTTCTGAGCACGTTTAGGGAATGTTGTCTTCAAAAATTTACGCAGACCTGCCAACACGGTGTTTATTCGAAAATTAATTGGCAGGTGTCTGTAAATGTAGGTCCTCTTCACTCCATTAGGGAATTCCAGAACGTACTGGTTTATAAGTCCCTTGACTGTAGCCTGCCAGTACTTCACAGCTGTCTCCTCGCCTTCAACCAAGACACTCCGGCATGACGATGGCCTCTATATAACATCTCTATGGAGAAATTCACAAAGTTCCTTTAACACTTCGAAAGTAACGCATTGATGGGTAAATTTGAATTTGTCCATGGGGACACCCCCACATCCAAGTAAAATGCAGTGTACTCTAGCCGTGGTGACCATTTTCGAAGAACAATTGAAGAATTTTTCTACTACTGAATATGAGTAGTCTGTTGCGACGATGGACAAAAGTCTTCTCTTTTCATCAGAGTAACTTCGAATCCTGCCAAGATCTTTAGCTGCATCACTGTGCAATTTGAAAACCTCTGAGGTCTCCCCACTCAGAGAAATTCTACTGTCCCTTAGAGTCTGTCCAATCAAAACTTTCTGGATTTGCTTTGCTGATCGAAGTCGTACCGCTTTACTCAAATCTTTATCCTTGCAGTGTTTGTATTCGGCTGCAAGGTTAGTGAGGAAGATACTCTCCTGGTAAACCTTGTTGTGGCAACTTCCAAATGTGGACTTCCACTTTATGCAATTCAACAAATCGTTTACAAATTCAGGTATGTCTTTTGCGTTATAGTGCACAAATTTGTAGCACAGTCTTCAACAACCTTGATGGTCTTTGACCTCATAACTTGCTGAGTCCTATTTTCTGCGTCTTTGTACGGTCGTAAAGGCAGTTCCAATACTTGTACATGTTTGGAACTGGAAGACGAAGGTAGACTGCTTGGTGAATATTCGGTGTTGTCAATTTCACCTTCGCCAACAACTGGTACATTGCACATATCTTCCGTGGCGTACTGACTGGCTTGTTGATCCTAAATAACAAACATAAAATAAATAAATGAAACAATTATCACGTATTCCATATACTAACCTACAAGACGTAAGTTAATGTGTGCAAAAAAATCAGATATAAGCTTATTGAACGACAGAGATGTGTGGAACATGAGAAAACAAAACATGGCAATTGCAGAAGTATAAACGTTCCTCGAGTCGCATGCACTTCATTTTGGTAGCAAGTCTTCCACAGCAGGCTAAACATATCTTTGTTTTTCGGCCTTTGTTCTTCGAACTATCGACCTCACAAAACCTTAGCTCCTCAGGATCTGCAACTCGTAATACATCAGGGGATACATTTCCATGGCTCCAGGTGCTGTGTTTTGTGCACACGCAACGAGTAGTGAACACCATTAGAAGAAAAAATGTAAGCAAAAAAATGAAAATACAAGCGGATTTCGAGCTATATACACTATTTACAAAATTCCGAAGACTGCTAAACGACGAAATTTTTTAAGAGAAAGCAGTGCGTGAAGATCCAGTAACAATGGCAGCCATTCAAGTCAGAACAAACTTAACTTCGGAAAACCGACTTCCGCACATACAAATCGTCTGAGAATTGGCCGAGAGTTGGAACAATAAGATATCTACCATAAAAGGCATTAGTTTCGGCCCAAATGATGTTTTTGACCAATAAGAGTGGCGGAAATTAATTAATTCAATTAAAATGGATCGTTCTGTGCATGCATTGGGTTTCGCCCCTTTCCTTCTTATGCGAACCATTACTTAAAGCTTTTTAATAAGCAGTGTAATAAGAATTTGCTTAGAAAAAAGAAAGATGTTTACGGCATAAACTAATACATACGTTCTCAACTGATGTGTGACCTTCTTGATGAATGAATTACACAATCATACTGTATCTAGCTTCATTGATACATCCATTGGGAGCCTTTGGACTAAATCATTTTTTCTTATCATCTCCTTTCGCACTTCAAATCAGTTGAACTAGGTAGCTACTTAAGGGAAACAATTCCATTTCATGTCAGCAGTGCTATGTCTGGCCATGTGTTTGATCGCGATACTTCTCATCAACTTCTTCCCATTAAATGTCAAGTGAAACTTATCCCTAGGATGCTACGAATTATAAAATATGGTTTTCACTCTATTTCTTGCTACTATTTTGATCGTACGAGCATTTTCTTCCAAAAGATGTCCTCCATCCGGTGTCATTCACAGGCGTTCCTTTGAGACGTTCACTTCGGCCACATTTTAAATCCCAGCATGCTCAAGACAACAAGCAAAAACTTACAAGGGAGGGGATGGGAAATTTGTATCAAACCCCAAAAGCGATTCAACTGAAGTTGGAAACATCTCGAATAACTTTCAAAAACGCCTGGTTACCCCACTTTTCTTTGGTCGTATGAAAGTGTAGTTCCTATAGAGCACATGATTTATTTTGTTCTGCGTGAAAAAATTATCTAGATACTTTTTAGGGAAAACAATGGAGAGCTGTCAGTTTTGATTATGCCTCTTTTGAGGTGGTTTTGACCCTAAAAATGTCAAAAACGTTGTTATTTTCCACCCATGTGTATTTTTTAAAAAAGGATTTTGTATTTATTGTTGATTTAGCTGTTTTAACAGCTAGTTTCATTAAAACCTTTAAAGAAATTGACACTTCAATTTTATGAATATTGCCTAATCAGCACTTTTTTTCAATATTGAGGCGCCATTATCTCGCAAAAAAGCCTGGTTACCCCCAATTATTTTGTTGGATTTCAATACCCCTCACTACAACCTACTTATTCCCCACAGTCATTATCTGGGGAAAAATACTTCCCATAAGTGGGCACCGTCCTGAAGTAAAATGTTACTGATCCTGTAGCACCTAACCCCCCTTATCTGATTAAAACCACATTGAGGTTTTCAGCAGACCAATCACAAGCAGGACAATTTTTTTTTGCCCAAGTATACACATTTGTACAATCAAAGGACAATTATTGCAAAAAACTTAATCCACTCCATATTAAGGACCTACATGTCTAGAACAAATCTGAAGAAGACTCAGTATGCAGGTACTGTTGAATTCTTCCACTCATGCAGTGATAAGAACCCGGGGTATCTAAAATCGATGGAATCGATGATCGGAAAACCAATCGATCAATCGATAAAATTAGTTAATTGGTATCGATTGGTATTGGTCAATCGACGATCGATCGATAACCACACAAAAATCATTCATCGATTGGCATCGATTGGCACAGGACCTCAAGACAGACGTCAAGCATGCTACCTGTCCAATCATCCGCCATTTTTAGGAAGCCCTGGGGACGAAATTGGTAAAACAATTCCAACCCAGACTTCTCAGCGCAAAGAATATACCCTGTTACACGCGTACTCGAATTACCCACTTGCCCGTCATTGCCTTTCGGTGTCATAATGTCTACGCAGGATGTCCGGGCAGAGGCTTTACTGAATATAAGGTGCATCGTCAAAGGCTCTCATCTTTGCCGTTTTGAGGTGAACGTCGGTGAAGTGTTCACTGCAACCAAGAAGAGGGGAGAACGCAGAAACGTGTTTAAAGTTGTGAACCATCGTGGACAACTCGGCCATCTACAGTCCGAGCTTGTGGATCCTCTTTGGCCACTACATGCAGATATTTCAGTGTTAGTAAATTTTTTTTATTAAAACTGTAACAAACAACCCGGGCAAGCAAATATGAAATTATTCAAAACACATACATTGTTATTTCGGTGTACTGTTCAAAACATTGTATTTGCTCCTTTTGCTAGAACTGTGACAGGACCTCCAGTTGACGATCCAAAGGGAAGATGGCGACGTGGAGGTAGTATAAATGTCCCTGTCAATGTTCAGGTTCGGCTTCCAGAAAGGCAAGCTCAGGAGGTAAAACGAAAACTTGACATATGTGGCTGTCAAGTAAAGTTGAGTCCAGCTGAGTGAAGTCCGAATGAAGTCGTCTGTCAAAGCTCAGCCAGCAGATGTTCCAACTGTACTTCATGCAACCGGGAATTTAAAAAACAGAATTTTTTAAATATAAACGAATTTAATTAGCCGAGAATTTATGACAATAATAATGTAAGCGGCGCAGGCGGCGCTGTGTGTAATTTGAAAGACATCATGCACAATCAATTAAGAGCTTTAATCAGTCATTAAAACCGGTTTGAAACTTGCAACATGTCTCTTTGTACAGTTACTTTGCAGTTGTGCTTGAGCTTGGGTTGGTCTCAATTACCATGTTCTGGCCTGGTTTATAACTGCCATCCTTCTGTCGACGGCGGTGGTTTTGGAACCAGTTTGATATCTGTATCTATATATTTGTTTTTTTTCCAAAACGCTCTCATAGAATTTGTTCAAACTTTGCCAAAACTTAGGCAATTATGGCAGGTACATACTTCCTTAAGCGATTTCTTTAAAAAACTCCTGGTACAGAGAAACACCAAGATAAATGAAAAACGTAATGGCGTCATTACGTTGCTATGGCGACTCCGATTGCAAGAAAACCCAGATCATAAGAAAGTTTCATCTTTATATAATACAGCTGTGGTAACTTTTTTTCCATATCTCTACTCACATCAATGTAGTTGACGTTCAAACTTGGGAGGTATCCCCCCTAAAAAATCCAGTCGAGCCACCTTAAAGGCAAAAAATTAACATGCAAATGTATCCGAGTTGGATAATATTATTATTATAATTGAAAGAAATTTTTCTTGTTACTGTATTTATTTCTTCATACAATTTTTACAGCGTACGGTGTACGTACTTATACTATAATGTTGCTGGCCATTGCACTAGTGTCGGTTTTTTTCAAAAAATACTGAGGGGAGCGTTTTGCCACCTGTAAGTGTTTAAAAAATGTCATGCTTGCAGTATAATTGGACTGTGAACCTAGCATGCCAGGTTCGAATCCCGCTTGTCACACTTTGACTTTCATGAAATTTCTTGAGCAAAAATTTGAAACACTTACAAAGACTTCAGATATTTGAAAAACTTAGCGAAATGTCATGTAGGCGTAAGTAAGAGGGAAAGGGCCGTTTGAGATATGGAAGTAAGGACTTATATTACAAGGGATTCTTGTTATTAAACCCGCGAAAACTAACAGCAGGATGAGAAAGTATTTCATCTGTATGGTGTTTGCATGCTGGAAATTTCTCACCTTTTCATTGTCTTTTAAAGGGATGTTGCCTTGCAAAGGCCTTAGGTACGCCTATGCCTGACCAAGTATGCTCTTCAAATAATCCACAGAGAAGCCAGCTGATGGCATGGGTACTTTCATCAGATCTCTGGATCTTTTGCTTGTTGTTCGAAGTATCGAATAACCACGGTGGTCGAGCTGAGGGAACTGTTCAACAATGCACTGATGAACTTGCGTACCATTTCCATTGTTTGGAAATTCTATCTTTTTTCCCCCCAAGCTATTCAGTGCCAATGTCACTCTCTTGGCTGGGGTTGGCAATTAGCTTGAAGTAGAGGACGCAAGGCAAAAAAAGGTTCTTGTCCACATTTGTCCTCTGTTGTACGGCAGGTTTGCACAATTGGTTCACGACGGCCTTCTTTCATTATTAGGTCGACTGCATGGGTTTCCTGATGATGGTTGATAGCCGAACAAACAGGCATGTTCCACCCAGGCTGTTGGTTCAGCAGATGGAGCTGAGTTTGGCTGAAAAGAGGATGCTGTTGTTGAGCTGGAAGCGGCGATTGTACAAGAAGCTGTACTAGTTGTGGTTGTAGATGCTGCTGGAGAGGAACGGGCAGTAAGATCAGCATCTGAATCAGCCGATCAGCACATTCGCAAAGAATATTTTGGGTCGCCAGATCCATCAGAAACTGATCTGAAACTGACTTGAGGACCGTGACACAAAATTTGCAAAGATACGAACTGGTGCGAAGATGTGACCATGTGACATCTGGCTAAGTGGCGACATACCAGCTTAGTGACCAGGCCCTGTGTATCTGATAATGCGTGGTCGAAAGAATTCAGTTCAAGATGCGTGTATTCAATTCAAAATGCCATGTTATCGGAAATCGCACATCCGGCTGAAGGAAGTTCCCAATTCAACAATTAGACTGGTTGCAAGTAACAAAAGAAATAAAAAAGTGAACTATGATTTGTTTTGTATTTTGAAAGGCTTGTGTAAAGACGTTATTACATAAATTGAACAAGCACCGGAGCAGGAGTATCTTTTACCCAATTCGACTGTGTTTCTGTCTACTTGTTGTTTTGCATTTTGGAAGTAGAAGGTATTTAAGATTTCTTTTCTTGATCAATGTTTAAGTAATGCTGTTATTTTCAATTCAGAGAAAGAAGAGACCTTTTTTTTGCAGAATGAAATGCCAGGGGAGCATTTTGTTTTAGGAATAATGATGGAGTGTTGCCGATATTTCTATGGTGTAGAATC